ATCTCAATAAAAGAAAAAGTATGGTGTCATTAATGCTTTTTATTACACGGTGGAAAAAAAGCACACTTAGCAGTTTATAGATCTTAAGGTGGCCGACAGGAGGTTCAACAATACACACAAAAAGATCTATACATAAAGTGATGCTCTTCCTCTCTCTGTAGAAAATCAAAAGTGTTTCTTGTCCAGTGTTTAAAGCAAGAAAACACAATTTACTACACTTTGGCATTAGTTACACAATAAAACCAAAACGTCCAACAGAGGTTTTGTGTTTTCTGTGGATTTTGCCTCATCTGGTCCATAAAAGCATCGTCACAGACACATTCTTTGCAAAACAATTTGGGGATGGCTTTTGGATCACTATTAATTTATACACATTACTCATCCATCCGTAACTGTAATACGTTGTTGATATATTCACACATCTCTGCACCTATTAAACCAACTCATTCACCAGTTTTGGGCAACTAAGCCACATTCATCCATATCTGTCACATCTGTCGCTTTTTCCCCAGCTATCCACGCAAGCTTTCATATCCTATTCTTCTATAAATGCATCCATCTATCCATCTGGCCATGACGCTTTGGCCTCACACACATCACTACATGCTGGCTTTTGCGCATTCATTACTCTCCATTTCTGACATGAAAGATATCTCACTTTGGACATTACAGACCTCAGTCCTCTCCCCTGCCGATCCCAACCATCCACTTATCTGCCACTTTCTTTTTCTTGGTTTTTTTTGCCTTACATTTTACATTTTTTGCCTCTGCATCTTAGATGAAATGACAAAGCTCAGATTCTTTCCTTCTATCAGCCATCCAGCTATCATGCACGTCATCACACACAGTCTCTTATCCTGCTCTTTTTTTCCTTTTGCCACAAGCCTGCAAATATAGACCCTGCCACAAGACACAGGAGTGAATATGCGCCTTACCGCAATCACTCGTTCGTCTCATACTCCACCTTTTTCTGCAGTGGACTCAGCTGCAGACACTCACTGTTGCACCTCTCTCTCGACCTCATTTGTACATATTGAAAACAATATAAACCAAAAAATTCCAAATTTTAATTAATCACTCCATAACTAACTCCACCTGCTGCCACTGTGCTTCTACCTCAGACCTTTTCCCCATTGCTGTTTCTTACAGAATGGCTTCTTGAAACCACTTCTGATGAGGCTTCAGTGAACAGTAGGTCAACTGTATCAAGTGAAATGAAAGATGCATCTCTCGGGTCCTGTGTCAGGCATTTAGTGGATTTATAAAGGATATAGCTTTCAGATACTGTTCACCTGCTATATTTATATATGTTTTTTCTTAACTTTGGAATTTTTAATAGACTCAACAAAATAGGAAAACATTTTGTATACTCGTACAATAAGCCGGTCTTTTCCAGATACTATTGTTTTTCCCAGAGACTAGGTCGATTACTACGCTCCGCTTAAGTGCAACTCAGTACCATTAAGAGCTGACAATGCAGGTCATCAGGATTGCAGATCGTCAGCATCACTGGAGATTTTACTTAATATAACTCAGTGCTTAATTGCAAATACACCATGGAAAGCAGAGGAGCATAAACGGAACTTTTCAAGTTCAGACACAATATTTAATTAAGACAAACACTAATGTTTGCCCCTGTTTGTCTTTTAGCTTGACTTCTTAGTTGTCTTCCTTCAGTTCATTTAATACTTCACCAAATAAATTCTCTACATTTTGTTGTCATTTGTTAAGTCCTTGACTTGCTAAAGTACCAGCAAATCAAGACAGTCAAAACAGTCAAACTCAAAAACCTTCACAGCATCAGTTTTGTTTGCAAAGGGATATTAAATCAATGTTTCCTATTCAGCTATTGCAATTCCAAAAGATTCTCTCTTCTTCCTTCTGTCAAACTCAACCTCTTAACATAAATTCTCTTCTACTTCTCGTTGACCTTATCTCCCTTCTCACCTTAAAAAAATTCCAGAATTTCACCTTGGGTAAGAGAATAGCTGGAAATATATGTATTTGCCCATTAAGCATGAAAAACAGAGTGCAGGTAGAGTGCTGGGTTGTTACTGGATCTGAATAGGCATTCAATATGTGAATATTTCCAAAAGTTAGTACGATCGACCCACAATTAGTCTGTGTTGCACTATTTACACCATTTATATATGTGCAGCCCTGTTTGTTTTTAACCATTACTTAGTGATAACGATCAAGTATGGACATCTAACAGTGCCCGTCTCATTAAAATGAGTCAAAGTTCCATGAATCCGAGTTTAATCAAGCTCAGGGATGCTGGAGTGTAACTGCCTCCTCTACAGAGGTTTTCAAGAAAACAAGTTACCAGTAGACGTTTGGTAAACTGGCTCTATACAGGCGCATCGTTTCATTTGAAGGGACTACTGGTGTGTTGTTTTTTTTGTTTTTTCATTTTCTTTTAGTGCTGCCTGAGGTGATTTTGGTTCATCTATCTTGAAGTGTGATCGGATGTGTGTGTATGAATTTATGGGCAATCCACATGTTTCTTCAGTGCCCAACAAAATAAGGCCTGGATTATTGTGTAAGATTTTCTTTTGGAAGACTGCGAGTGTTTGAGAATGAAGCTGGGTGAGGGGCGAATGCATGTGTGCTGGATGACCTGCGGGATTCATAAAGCTAGTAGTTTTACAAGGCCTAGTCTCCTCTTCTGAACTTTTTACTGCTGAGTGACGTGCCACTTGGCTTCCTGTGAAATCCTTCTTTTCCCTCTCTTTTTTATCTCAGTTTCTGCTCTCCATTTCTCTTTCTGCTTGCTTTCCTCTTCATCCATGCCCCCTCCCACCATGTCTCTGTCTGTTCCTTTCTTCCCCTCCCTCTACGTCTGGCAGTAAAGGCTGATGGAGTGTGAAATTAGAAAGTGTATCATATTCTGCTCTGTGGCTCCATGTCCTGAGCTATAAGCTATAGCTAGTCAGAGTGAAAAATAACATGCAGTGAAACAGATACATTAACATGGTTTTGTGTGTACATGTGCGTGTGTGTGTGTGTGTGTGTTGAAAAAGACAGTTTAGCCGGCCTGCAGCTTATCTGAAATTACTTATCTCACGGATGATACACTGGGGCTTCTTCCTAAACTACAGGACTGAGCATGGATTCAAATTATGGACAAACATAAATACACACCTGACTCAGATGCTGAGTGCACACAATTTGAATAGCCTGTTGTAAACAAAATTTTAATAGTTTTGATAAAGAAAGTGCACAGAGTGAGAGATAGATCCTCTCACTAATTGAAAAAGACAAGTCCCCAGTATTTGATCAAATACATGCATAGTCACAAGAAAGAGTTTGCAGACCAAGATTTCTGTACTTACTGCTGATACAATATATAACCGTCATCTGATTTGCAAAATACATAAAGAACTGAGTGTAAGATGAAGTCCACACCACACTTTATGAGCAATGAATGCATCCTAATCCTGATTTTTTAAACGTTTTTTTGCGACTGTAATTATCTGTTAGGTGTACCTGCTGCACATTACATTCGCTTCCAACACAACTCACCGTCTCAGGTTCACTATTTGTTCCACCTTGGACAGCTATCAGTTTGCTTACAGTGTAGCTTACAAAGAGCAACCTACAAACCTTGTTCCCGAGATGCTGTAGCCGATTGGTTCAGAGCACTATCCACCAAGTGGCTATTAGAACAGGAACCAGTAGTACCACATCATGTGAAGTGGTCTTAATAAAAGGGAACACTGGATCGTCAAAGTATATCGTGGAGTCAGTTAAACTTCAGGGATATAAATGTGTCCACTCTGGAAGTCACTTTCACCTGCTTTGGTGCAAATTAAAGTGACAGCAGTTGCACAGGAGGCTCAACAACAAAACCTCCAAAAATAAAATAAAAAAAGAGAATGTCTTTGGAGCCATAGACCATTGTTACTTTTCTTGTCATTCTTGGTATTATGGGAAAGTACCTGCAACCCATTCACATTGCACAGGTGTTCCACTTCTTGCAGTAGGATATTTTCATTGGCGCAAGAAGCTTTTTGAGTCTCCCAGCACAGTCTCAAGAATAGGGGGTAAATACTGTACACAAGAACAGCTGGACAGGTCTGTAAAAGTGCATCAACCAAGCACCAAGACCCAAATCTGCTCTTTTGTACAAGGAGGAGCAGGAGGAGCTCTACCACAACCCTACAAAATTCTTCAGTAACATGCACACATGTAACCTACTGTGTAAGCATACGGTGCTGTGTACGTATTCGCACCGTGCAGTGAGCACTCCTGTGCACAGATCATAATAAAGGACCAAGAACCCTCATGCCACCCTCACGGAGGCCGATTCTGATAGGCTGAGTAGAAACATGCACAAGTAGCCTGCTGCATGCATTTTATGTCTCCTCCTGTTTCTCATCACATAAAGCAGCAGATACCATGCCTTGTTGCTGGCTCAGTGCCCTTCTATGGTCATGTTCAGCTCTCCTTCACACTCCTGAGACTGTGCTGAGACACAAAACTTCTTGTGAAGGCATGTGCAGAAGTGCAATCCTGGAGGAGCAGGTCTGCTTGTGCAGCCTGAATGGGCTGTAGGTATGGTCACATGGACACACTAGCCTAAAGCGAAAGTAGAGAGAAATTAGTCAGGAGGGAGAAGGAGAGAGCACTGATCTGTAGCCAACATGCACAAAACCTCCCTTTTTGGGAGTTGTGTTGTTTTTGCCTCTCCAGTGGACTTGTCATTTTCATTTGCACCAGAGCAGGGATAATGGACTCACAGTGATTTATACTTTGTAACTTGACACACCGATATCCCTGAAGTTTACCTTATATTGTGTTATACTGTGATCACCTGGTGTTCTTCATTTTTTGAAGTGTGTTTTTGTTCAAGGTATATATGAATATTTGAAAGACGATATCTGTTTGTGCATCCATTTAAAAATGTCATAGCACCATAATGAGTGACTGACAAGACAATGACACATCTAGGCTTTAATTTAATTACTGTAACTGTAAGCATGCATGTATGTGCTTACCTGCAGCAGACCAGACACCTCTCCTTTCTGAAGCGGCATGGCAATGGAAGGAGTGAACGGCTTACTTTCCTCAACTGGTTTGCCTTTCATGAAGTGTTTTCCTGCCTCATAGACGTCCACCACAATCATCTTTCCTTTAAACTCCACCCTTTTAGGTACCAGCACCTGCAAATCGGAGGACATCATAACTGACTTCACTGCAAAAAAAAATACACAAATAAAAAACACTTTAAGGCAAAAATTCTAACAACTCCATATTGCTAAAATTTCAAGGTAGAATATAATGGATACAATTTTGTTGTTTGCCGCTTAGTCACCTTCTGTGGAGTACATGGAAGATAACTCAAAGACTTTAATGTGACTGACATAAAAAAGCAGACCTATATAACCGTCCACTCCACCAGATAATCTTCCCTGGTTCTTTACATCTGTCAGCCTCCATACTGATTTAGCCAGTCCACGGCTTCACAATAAAAACCAACAACGACAACAGCGGAAAAAAACAAACAAACCCCCCCAACTGAGTGCTTTCAGTTCCATTTATGGAAGACCTCAAGGTCGACAAGTACAGGAACAGCTGGGCGCTAAACCAGAGGGAAGGATTTGCTGGTTTGTCTTATTATTTCACCATGGCAACTGCACATCTTAGCTGATCACAGCAGGAAGGAAAGGGAAAACAAAGAGTTATAATTACGGATTCATGTGGAAGGGAATTTGTTCTTAATGACTTATTCCTGTAAATAAAGACTGTATGAAAATACTTTTTCCTTCAAAGACAATTTCAAACTAGCTACAAAGTCAACAAGCTGATAATGATGTACGGTGTATGATTATCGTGCCGATTTACTCCCTTTCTTCGGCTCTTCTTTTCAGATTCAGTCGTTTTATGTAGTAAACACTAATTAAATGATTTGGTGTGCGTGCATTTTTGAAGGATGTCAGGCAGTTATAAAAACTTCTTAAATTCTAATCACTGCAAAAGTGTGACTTTCTTTGTGAAGAAGGCATCATTTTTTATCAAGCTTTGTGAACACCTTAGGAGAATAATAGCAGATGTAAATCCATCCACCTAGATGGATTTCATCTGACACTACACAATAACCTTTGAAAAAGTTGTTTGAGAACTTGTTAGCGTATTATTATACATCATTAAAGATACAGATGATGTACAAAATGAATAATGATGATAATAAGATGGCATGTCACTGATCCTTGTCCCTGCTATAAGTCCTGTAACGTTTTTGCTTAATCCTTTCCAAGGACAGATCAGAGTTCGGGTCATCAGCCTCAGACATGCTGGGAATTCAATGTCTTGTACACATTGGCTTCAGCGAGGCGCTGACGTGCCGACTCGGATCATCTGGTGGTCCGTCTAACCATTACACTACTCTGCAGGGCTTAGGCACTGACTGAGCAGAGAATAGCGTATGAACTGGAGGAGAGATTGTTACTGGTGTGATGGCGGGGGCACGCCTGCCTCAGTGTTAATCTGTCAGCCTTCATCCAGCTGGTAAAATATGATAGGAGACAGAGTGCTGGCCAAACAGACACAAAGCCAGCACGACGTCTGCCCAATCAACACACCTGCTGCTCAACACTCTGACCACAGAGAGAGGCTGTGTGTGTGCGTGTAAGTTACCAGCAGCCAGACTGTGAGTGGAGAGGTGAAACCGCAGGGCTGTGGAAGAGATAGCTGTCTTTGTGTGTGTGTGTAGGTGAGGGTCATTCGTTGCCCATTACATAGTGATTAAATGATGAAAGAGCTTGTCTGATTTCATTGGAAACCCCCTCTCCTGCTGCCTCACTCAGACACTAACACATACACACACACACACACAGGTGGGTTGGGTACCTATTACAGCCGTCAGGATAGATATCCATCTGATGGTGTAAAAGTGAAACTAGGCCATTTGTTCACTCTCACACCTCTCTCTTCCTTATTCCCCATTTCCTTCAGCCCGCACATCCTCCTCCTCTCCTTTCCTTTCCTCTCAAACTCATTGTTTCTTTTACAATTCAACTACCTTAACTTCCCTTTCTCGCCATCCATTATTCCATCCATTATTCCATCCATTTACACTTTTATTGCTACACAAGCTTTTTAGCAATAATAGCACAGGTTTTAGAATAATTTGATCTGTATGGATCAATATGGTAAGAATTAAAGTGAGGCTGAACTCACAACATCTGTAATGTATAATGTGTATGAACTGGAGATCAGTGAGCTGCCTTAATGGTCCCATATAACGCTCCTTTTGGACAAGTTAACGTCTCCTGAATGTATCTGTTATGTTTCAGGTCACCACCTTTTGTTTTCTCTGCCATGTGTCTATTAACCTCTCTGTTTTAGACGGATTCCAAATGAAGCTGGTTGTAACTTTCAGTCTGTTGCCCATGACCCCTTTCATGCCCTTTTCCTGTGACTTACCTACTATTGCTATGAACACCTGAGTTAAAACAGAACCAATGTGTCTGCAGTGAGACTCATAAAAGTGAGCGTGTAAGAGGAAGAGCCGGTGCTTTATGAGCACTCGTTTCATAAACATCACCTAAGGCTACGTCCATCGTTTTCTCTCCATTTTGGCCTCACGTCCACACTGACACGGAAATGGTGGAAAATCACAGCGTTTGATGGAAAACGCTCTCAAAAACGCGTACATTTGCAAACTGGACACCAATGAGTTACAAACTGATAGCAAACTGATTAAATTTTATTGCCGTCTTGATGCACCAAAGTTGCTTTGAAGACAGCAACTAACTGAGCGGTTGCAGACCAGGTCCCCGTCTTCAAACCAACAATTTCAAAGGCAACAGAATCACAAATTCATTGCAAACGATGCCTTTTTTACTTTCACGCATCGTTTTCTCCCCGGTTTGTCCTCATGTCCACACTGAGACGGTGTTTTCACTCAACGAAAATGCAGTGTTTTGAAAACGCTCTCAAAAACGCATACATTTGAAAACTGTGCTTTCGCGTCGCAGTGTGGACAGCGAAAACGGAGAGTTTCTAAAACAATGACGCATGTTAGTCATGTGACCAATTAAACTAAGATAGCGGAGGGCATTATACAGCAGTTGTTTTGCTTGCTTTCAGTTTTGACAGCCCTATTAAAGATTAATATCAGTCTGTACATGCTCCAGATAGCTTTAACTTTCTTTAACTCTCACTCGCTTTTGCAACTTTGTACTTTTGTGTTACTCGCAGCAACAACTCCACCTCATTGTTAGTCCATTTAAAAAAACTCGGTGCTTTTCCTCGACATTTTTCGGGAAAGCAAATAAGCGGCAGACAGAAATGTGGCAGGTCGAATCTTCTTGCGTTTCACGCATGCGCAGGACTAGAACGTATGCGTTTTCGCCCGTTTCAATGTGGACGCACAACTCTGTGAAAACGACTGAAAACGCTAGTGTGGACGCGGACGCGGAGTGTGGATGTAGCCTAAGTGACAAAAAAGCTTGCTTTTATCAGTCAATGTTGTAGTTACAAACTTATTAAATGGCTATTTTTGCAGCGAAATTAGGGATCACTTTGTAAATGATGGGAAGCACGACATCCAACTACAAGTTACTGGCAGCTAATTAAACTGTAGTCTTACATGTGGGCTCTAACAGCTATAAAAATGCAAAAATTCTTCAGGAATGATTTGAAGAAGATGACTGATTTCCAGGTGTTCCCTTTCCCAGCATTCCCGGTCTAATTCATACCAAGCATCTGTTTGATGTGCTGAAAAGACAAGTGTGATTCATGGAGTGTGCACCTCACCACTTATGGGACTTATGGGACTATTGCCCGTGGAGTCTGTTTTAACAGCACTAGAGCGTCCCAAACTATTTCAGGCAAATGTTTAAAGTGTTTGCATGTTCAGCAGGAGTATGGATATTTCAACACAAGAGGGTCAGAGATTGTGCTTAAGTACGGTCAGCTGACACACATGCCAAGACATACACAAATCCAGGCACGCATTAAGGAGTGCGCACTCACGCAACGCACACATGAACCGAGTAACACTTGTAACTGAAGTTTATAGCCTCAGACGAAAGTGCAAAGGAGGAGGAGAAGAGGGGAGGAGAGGGAAGTGGAAGGGAGGAAAAATTATTACCATCCTTTGCCCTCCCTGCTAATAAAAAGCATAACTTCAAACATGTTTCTGATGATGGTTAAAGCAGGAGGAAATTGATTTATTTGAAGATGTTTTAAAGTGGATTTTTCACAGGTTGAGAGAGGGTCTTTGAAGCCATGCAAAGGTATATGTGTGTGTGAGTTTGCAGGATGGAATGTTCATGTCTTTAGGGCTGACCTTAATGTTAGTACAGTTTAAAAAAAAAATAGTACTGCTGCTATCAGCCTCCAAATGCTGCCATGACCACCGCAGGGTTTATGTGTGTATTTGTGAGTGTGTTTGATATTACAACTAACCTAGTTTACTCAATACAAGCTCAAGCATCTGACACCTAATGTGACTAGTCCTGAGACATGAAGAAGAGTTGGAAAAGTTTCACGCTGAAAAAACATATTCGTTAAATTATTGATTAATTTGCCTTTCCACTAGAGTTGTCTATGGAGGAAAGTGTATGTGGAGAGCATCTTAAGCATTATTGATCCATACAGTGCAAGAGCTTGGCTGAATGGTTCTTTAGCAGACAAGCTATTCATAAGTCTGTGCACTTAGATTAAATTTTCACTATCAAAATATGACATTTTTTTAAATATTACCACACTAAAATTCATACTTTTTGTAGAGAATAATTAAATTCAGCAAAGGCACGGCTCACAGTTATCCTCACTGGCTCCTTGAGATTGCATTTAAGAAATATATTCGATATATAAACGGTGAGAAACAAACACGATTTATGGATTCTGTGCTTGAGTCGTTTGTTAATGTATCTGGACAATAACCATACCTGTTCGTAGTACTTGTTGTGAGCCACATAGTATTGGGAATCAAATGACTCCTCTGTCACCAACACATGCTGTCTCTCCCCTACCTGCACAGACAGAGGGAGAGAGAGTGAAAAGGAGAGAGAAAGAAGTTATCCAGTGGATTTACTCAGACAAAAAGGAAAAATTGGACTATGTTAAAGGTGGACATCAATTAACCATTCACAATAAACAAGCTGTAAAGCCGTTTGATTTAGGCTCATCCAGTAAAACTGTGCTAGTTTCGCTGAAAAAGAACACATTTACTGCTGCAGCGCACAGCAGACGTTTATGAATGTCTGCCGTGCATAGATGCGTTGGCTATGGGGTTGCAGTTTTTGTTACATAGGCCGCGTTTCTTCTTCAGTTTTAATTCAAGCAAGCTTCCTCAGTCAAGCTTCTATTCACGGAGATCCAATATTCAATAAAAGCTTTGCTCTTTCACGTTTTTTTCAAGTTTTATGTTAGTGCCCGCCGTTCACCTTTTAATTAAAATCTCAAGGTTTCAGAGCCACTTCAGTTTTAGTGCTTTGCAAAGAGATGGCGAGCACTATTCAGTTCAGAAAACTGCATTTAAAAAAAAAAAAAAAAAAAGTCTATACACGATGCAATTCAAATGCATACAGAAAACAGTCTATTCAGGACATCAGAAAATCAAATACTACAAGGTCTCCCCATCTGGCAATTTAGTGTTGGATGAAATGAGAGAAAGCACATTTTTGTGGAGGAATGTTGTTGACTCTCCGAAGGATTAATAGAAGAGTAGAAGAACTTTTTTGAAAGTTCTACAGGAAAGAATAAAATCTATTTAGGACTAGTTTTCTTACCAAAAAGGGGGAAGTGTTTCCATATTTGAACAAGTATCAATTCATCACAGTTTCTGTACTTCATGACTATATATACGCCCGTACATTTCCTAAACGGCTAATTCATTTTAAGTATATTAACAGGTATAAATTATGCATTAATTCTTCCCTTCATCTCTGACGTAACTTTGGCCAGTATCACCTTTAGGGTCATCTTCTTGGGCAGCCGTGACTAAAAATGACCAATGGATCAGTAGCTCCACTTGTGTTAAATCCTTGCATTTTCACTCTTCTCTTTATTGTAGACTTGATTAATGTGCACATGCATCACCCGGCATGCAGCCTGTTTCAGTTGCTCCTTTTTCTCCATATTTGAACTTTTATTTTTTGTCTTTGTCTTTTACTTAGTATTAGAGTGTTTGTTTTCATAGTTTTCTCATAATTTCCTGCCTCCTGGAGATTTTTCATGACCTTGTTGTGAAGAGGTTTTTCTATATCATGACTGTGATCACCACACACGCGTCTTGAGGATTTCCAGGCCGGTTTATGTTGCCAAACACAGCACAATGTAGCAAACTGTGGATGTCCTAATGTCCACGCCGTCTCTCAGATGGATTTGTTTTGTTTTTGCAGGCTAAGACGATTTGCACGGATATCTGCTTCGACTTGGGGTTCACAGAAGTACTTTTTAAAAGCCAACATGAGCATTTGAACAAAGCCAGGCTTTGATCTTCTAATTAATGAAAAAACAATAATGAAAAAACTAGCCATACTTTTTCATTTAACAGTTTTGAGTAAACTGTCCATTTCATTTGAGCCCATGAAAACAGGCTGACAGCATTCAGTGCTTGAAGCAACACTGTGCAACTTCAACTGTGAGAAAAGTGTCACCGTTTAAACATTTTTAACTGCATTTGAAAATGTTTCAAATTCAGGTGTCCTGTGGGTAGCATTTGCATTTTAACTCTGTCAGTGATGAGACCTTTACTCAGAGTATGCTGACTGATCATTTCCTGAGCAAAATGTCAGAGCCTTAGAAGTCACGGCTCTGACATATCGCCCAAGGTATTTCCATTTTTGCAGACGTCCATATTCTGCGCTCTCTTCTTCCTTTCCCCCCCCCCATGTTTACCCTTTTTCTTACATCCCTCTCTACTGTCTCTGGGCTGTCTCTTTGTTTTCAGCCACTTCCTCTCATCATTGACTGACTCTCACAGAGAGCACCTGCAGAGGCAGAGACAGACTCAAAAAGCGATCAAATAAATTGTTTTTATTTGAAGGGTTTTATTTTCAGGGGGAGAAGTGGGTAAAAAAAACAACATAAGACCATTATTACTGGACAGCAAACACTCAATTGTTGCCTTTCTTAGTGCACTTAAACCGAAGACAAAATATTTTTCCAGGAAGATAAAAAAAAAAAACCCTTTTATTTAGTCATAGTCAAATTCTCCTTTCCCCTTCAAGTACATTACAAAATTATAAATATAACATTTATGTGGAAATGTATATGTATGCACACATACTAATGTTGCCTGAGTGCATCTAAAAAAGAAAGTATTGTTGAAAAAGTTATTTTTTGTAATTTAATTGAAAAAAATGTAATTTTCATGGAGTCTAAGTGCATATGTCAAACTTCTCTTTAATTTTAATTTTGATTGAACCCTGGTATCTTTAATTCAGTTTTTCAACACATTACTGCTCAAACAGTAAAAATACTGTGCAGCTTACTTTAGCTCTGTACATGCAAACACAATCTTGGGGAAGACTGCAAACTTGACAGTGGCCCAGATGACCATCATCAACACCGTCCAGAAGGAAGGCGAGCCACAGAAGGTCATTTCAAAAAAGGCTGACTGTTCACAGTGCTGCAGCAAATGGAAAACTCAGTGGTAGGAAAAAGTGCACACACAAGCAACAGGGATGACCGTAGCCTTAAGAGGACTGTCAAGAAAAGTCGATTCAAGAACACGGGGAATGAAGACAGTGCAACAAGAGCCACAGATGGGTAGGAATGTGGCTAAACTGTCACATTACCAATGTCAAGCCACCCCTGAACCAGAGACAACGTCAAAAGCATCTAAGTACTGAACTGCTGCTCAGTGGTCCTTTTTAGTCTTTTTAGATGTAAGTAACATTTTAAGTCAACAAAATCAAGGTCCTATAGACAGTCTCAAGGTCCTACGGCAGGAGAATTCAAGCTAGTGTGAAGTTTATTCATTCTGTACTGATTTGGGGTCCCATGTGGTCATCTTCTAATGGTGGTGGAGGTTTACCCACTATGTATGATCAAGTCAAAAAGTCAATGTTGCAACCTACTGGAGGTTTCAGAGCATTTCATGCATTCTTTCGCTGACAAGCTTCATAGAGATGCTGATATCCTTTTCCAGCAGGACTCAACACTTTCTCACAGTACCAAAACTGCTAACCAACTTTTACTGTACTCGATTGACCTTTATATTTACCATTTTGAATGAAATAAAACATAAATAATGCAAATATTGTAAGGAGTAGTTCTAAAGTAGTTCTCCAGTTATAACAGTTTGTGTATGCATTTGTTTTGGCTTGTTTGGCCGCTGGACTTTTTTCCTCTCATATCTGCGTATGTATGTGTATTTAGATTTGTATTTACTCCATCTGTTGAAGAACGTCACAGCTTTACAAAGAAGGACTGAATGTCTTTACACAGCATGATGGTTTTTTATTTCACCATCCAGAGAGCAACATCCCAGGATACACCGAAGATCCAGTAAAGATTTGCGGGATCATGTGTTTAATTGATAATTAATCCACATCAAAACAAGAACAAGGAGACGACTGTGGCTTTGAATTTTAATCACCATTTTTATCTGCGCCACTAAACATCATCCAAATGATTTTGCTGCTGTCGTTTTCATTTTGAGCAGGAAGACTAATCCGGGCGAGAAGCAGTCGGTGCATGTTGTAGTGGGATACATAACGTCATTCAGACATAGGTTAGCATTACATTCATGCCCGTCACAGCTTCATTCAGACATTCCCACAATGATGTAACAAACCACTATTACAGAATTATTTAATATGTGCAAGATTTCACAGCACAGCAGCTGATATTTAATGCATTATGTTAGAGTTTTCTTCGCATGGGGACTACATTTTAATACTTAAAGCAGTCAACTAATAAAAAAAGCAGCTCAAGTATATAAATCACTGATCCCTGTCATCGTCTTCAAATGTCTGCAATTATTTTTTATTTACGACATTACTAGTGTACTGTAACTACTGTTACACCATGTGTGTAAATGCATGCACCTCTTTCAATTTGGAGAAGGTTGCTGACGGACAGTGATGTTGTTTGGTGCTGCAGGTATGCAATAGAGAAAGTGACAAAAAAAACTTTATACATACTTTACAGTACTGTAGTTTCTTCTTTTGAGTCATAAACCTGAACATCCACGTTTGGTTTGTTCGGAAATGTTGAAAAGTTCAGTTTGTGTGCAGAAAAATCCTGAACACCACTGTTGAGCAGTGGCTTGTAGACTTACAAACACAACGCTAAACGCCGTTCTAGCAACCATTGTACATTTTATCACAACAGTCTTGCACAGACGCACTCATTTTTACCTCAACTGTCCTCTGGACTCATTATGCATCCATACGATTCTCATATACACACACAGTTTATCACACAAACACATACATAAACATACACAATACATAAACGTTACTCAACTATGACATACGCACAAAGCGGCACACACACGGCTTTTTTGTAGCTACTTGTAGAAAGATAGTTTGTTTTGTTGCCTGCTTAACAATCGCTGTGGGGAGTGATTTAACAGGGCTAAAGAAAGAAGCTCTGATCTTTTGGAGGTTCTCTTTGATTCTTGAAAGATGAAGGGAAAAATCGCCCCTGTTGGTCTGGGTATTTTGTTTTAGCCTCAAAGTAAAAAAACAATATAAAAGAGACTCAAATTTTTGAGTGTTGGCCATGAAACAGAGGGGATTATGGGTGGTTTTGGTTTAATGATTGCAGGGACAAATGTAAAATCAAATCAAGTTATACAAATAAACTGTTCTACACAAGGCATAATTACTTTAGACAGAGTAATAGCTTACAAATGATGAAGACACAAGGAATAGATGTAAGAAAGGTTGGAAAACAAATGAAAAAAGGATCAACATTGAAGAAATTTAGTCAAACTAAGCTAAAACAGAATAGCCTGGGAGCAGTTATCAGATCTTTGTCCCAGTCAAAGCCTCTACTAGCTGGTCCAGGTCAATAA